AAAAAAAAAAAAAAAAAAAAAAGGTTCACGAAAAGGGTGGTCCCAAACAGATAGCATCACCATCAGCAGCATTTGTGTGGTGCCAGCCATTATGTCCAAGAACATTCTCTCCGGACCTGGCACAGCTCCCATCAGGCAGCTCCTATGTATGTACCCAAAGAACTAATTTTCAAACTCTTCTTTTTGTCACCTTTAAGTTATGGAATTCTTTCCTTTTTTTGAGACGGAGTCTCACTCTGTCACCAGGCTGGAGTGCAGTGGTACGATCTCAGCTCACTGCAACCTCTGCCTTCCGGGTTCAAGCAATTCTCCTGCCTCAACCTTCCAAGTAGCTGGGACTACAGGCATGCGCCACCATGCCCAGTCAATTTTTGTATTTTTAGTAGAGACGAGGTTTCACCATGTTGGCCAGGATGGTCTCGATCTCTTGACTTTGTGATCCACCTGCCTTGGCCTCCCAAAGTGCTGGGATTACAGGTGTGAGCCACCGTGCCCAGCCGGAATTCTTTCTTTAAATGAATCTTTTGCAGAAGCTCAATGTGCAAACAGACAGGAAAGCAGAGCCTGTATCCTGATAGCTGGCCTGGTAGCCACTCCTGCACTGAGCCTGAAGCAACACAGAGCACTTGAGAGGTTGGGAACCACTCCCAACAGCAACACCCCATGCAGAATAAAACCAAAGGAAAGCTGGCCTTAGTGGCTCACGCCTGTAATCCTAGCACTTTAGGAGGCTGAGGCAAGTGGATCACGAAGCCAGGAAATCGAGACCATCCTGGCTAACAGGGTGAAACCCCATCTCTACTAAAAATACAAAAATTAGCCGGGCATGGTGGCAAGAGCCTATAGTCCTAGCTACTGGAAAGGCTGAGGCAGGAGAATTGCTTGAACCCAGGAGGCAGAGATTGCAGAGAGCTGAGATCGCACCACTGCACTCCAGCCTGGCAACAGAGCAAGACTCCATCTTAAACAAAGAAACAAAAAGCAAAGGAAGATGGTTGGGGAGATAATTTGGGGATTTTCTAGGCCCCCAATCCCATTCATCAGAACAATCAAGAGTAATGGTTCCCAGCAAGGGTCAGAGCCCAGAAGGCCAAGGTGCAGGCTGCCTTGTCAAACAGTGGGCCAGAGGAACTAAGAGGCTGCATGCCCTCAATAGGAACCTGCAGTATCATCCATAGAGTTCCCCTCTGAGACTGAAACTAAAAGGAACAATCCAAAACGCCCACTGCAGCAACATAGGGCCCAGGATGGTGAATGTCAAGGAAACTAGGGCACGTCTAAGTCTTTTTTGTTTTTGAGATGG